GATTTTGGTGCAATTTACCACGATGATTTTTTATACATTAGGTAGTACTATTGTAAGAACCTACAAGGGTTAGAAATTTGGGGTAGAAAATATATTTTCGCTAATTACTTTCATACTGCTACAGAAAAAGCTTTTTTTATCCTTATTCTATTTAAATAACACAAAAGTTAGGATAATTATATAAATATTTATTAATAATGTGTTCAAAAGCAACTGAAAAAGAATGGTTAAGTATGACAAATTGTATTCTACATTGTTAATTTAGTTTTTTTTTAATTTATTTTTATTTAAAAGGGATCTTGGGGATTAAAACCGTGGAAAGCGTGGTCCAGTCGGTGTCATCGACAACACATAGCTACACAATTCAACCCATCATATCTGCAAATGAAAAGCTAGTTTCTCCTCTTTTCATTGTTTTAAACGAATTTTCTGGTACGTTTGGACCGAAGGTAATAAATACAATGTTCAAAGCAGATAACATATTCGTTTTGGCATCAAAGTCTGGTAAACTGACTTCCGCTCATATGAAAAATTGGCTACAAAATGTCTATTTCCCAAACACTGGACCCAAATCATTACTATTACTGGATTCTTGGAGTGGCCACTGCCCTATTATTATTAGTGAAGTAACTCCATCGGATGTTAAGTTTAAACATTTGTCTATACCTGCAGGGACTATAGGTCAAATTCAACCCCTGAATGTATTTGGTTTTAGAATATGGAAAAATGTCATTAGAAAATTTTCTGATCAAGTTATTCTCTATCAGTACGATGTCAATTTGCATCAGCGAGATAATATTTTAAAATTGCAATCCTTAACGCAAAAACCAGTTGTCTTTCCCACGATTTATTAATGTTTCTAAATACGCCTGATTTGCATCTAGATATATAGAGGAGAGATCAGAACAGTTTGAAAATCCCGTGGAGGTTTGCTTTTCCAATGAAAAACCGACGTGCGATATCTGTGGAGATATAGCTGTTATAACTTTTGCATGGTGTAAACAATCGTTGTGTTTAAAACATTTTTTTCATAATTTTCATTATTGCCAACAAAAAAAGAAATTAAATTAATAATGTAGAATAGAATTTGTGATAGTCAACCATTCTTTTGACAGTTACTTTTTAACTCATTACTAATAAATATTTATATAATTATCCTAACTTTTGTGTTATTTAAATAGAATAAGGATAAAAAACATTTTTCTGTAGGAGTATGAAAGTTATTAGCGAAAATATATTTTCTACCCCAAGCTTCTAACCCTTGTAAGTTCTTACAATAGTACTATCTAACATATAAAAAAATCATCGTGGGAAATTGCACCAAAATCGACAAACAATTTTCACAAAAAAAAAATTATTTTTGGGGTGGTTAGGGTAGTTAACCCCAGCCACCCCTTAATATCGTATATTGTCTATTTTACTACGTAAATCTTAATTTACAACTAATTTTTGGTTTTCTTCAAAATATTGTTCAAAAGTGTTACAGTTTATCACATTCGTCTTAAGGAAAGGGGTTATTTATAATACCCCGTAATTTTGCAGGGGATGGTCAGAGGCAAATAAGAAAAAACACGTCATTAATATTTTTAAACGTACTATAAGGACACATAATATCGTCAAAATCGACAGGGTAGTTTTTTAAATATTCCAAAGAACTAGGGGTAGTTTACCCCCTGAAGCCCTCAGATATATGTGTGATATATCAATGGAAAGCTCTTTGAAAATGAATATCAGTTTATATTTACCACATTTCGATAGCTATTTTCGTTTTCAGCCTATAAGCGAATATATATATTTCGTCCCGATTTCCAACCCTTATAACTCACCCCAGGGGCTTTATTAGCACGTATAAAAAAATACGTAAACCTTATTTTTGGCCATACTATCGCTGTACCAAATTTCAACAAAATCGGTGAGGGACAGTTCTGATACTTCCCTTGTTAGTC